TTGCCATGTTATTGTAACTGTTCCCGAAAACATTATTAGCAGTTTATTATAACTTTTTATTCTGCTCTTTCTATTGTGATGAAGAGTCAAGAGAATCTCTTATAATTGAAGCTTTGATTGACGTTTAAAGAAGTGGTTATTCAATTTTATTTCAGGGATGATACCTTGCAAATAATTAACGTTTCATAAAACAGAAAACTTTGAACAGAAGAACTGATTCTGTCTATGATTTTACCATACTAAGTTGGTCAAACAACTGGCATAAAGACGAGGAAATAATAACAATTTCCCTAAACTTTTTACATGAATCAAGTACCGTTTCTCAGTTTTACATTTTTTTCTGCTAAAATTTCGAAAACTTTAAGATTTTAAGTGGGCAAGTAAAATACTCTATCCTGATATGCACTGAAGTAAGAATTTTATTGGGCCAAAGTCTCTAAGCAAATCGCCGTTTATTTGGGCACAAAAAAACACGTGTATCTCCAAGAATCATTCTTTTCTACTATTTCGATATCGTTTGATGAGCTGCTTAACAAAACAGAATTTTAAAGTTGCAGTATCTGGTGATAATGAAGTTATACAAACTTTTCTAAATTCTCGTTCCAGTAAAACGTTGTCAGTAACCGATTGAAATCTGCTTTTTTCCCGGACGTAAATTTCAGTTAGAAAACTTCTGGGTAAAATTCAGCAAAGATTTTCATTCCACTCGACTAATGCTGTCGTTGACAAGAAGTTGACAGTTTTTTCACACTGATATTAAAATCCACCTCAATTTACGTAGCCGCAGTGTCTTTTCTTGTCATGCCACTATCCAGCGTTTCTGAAAAACTGACGGTTTGTTATCTGCCGTTATTTTATGCCGTTCGCTGCAAAAAAAACATTGAGCACTGGAAGCTTTTACTTTTCTTCCACTAAAAAAAATTTTTTGATTTATCAAAAATTTTGGACTGTTATTTAAGTAGTAAAAATTCTTTTAATCCTAATTTGTAACTGTTTCGTAAATAAAAAATTTAGGTCGAACATCTTCATTTTAACATGTACAGCTCTAGCCTCATGCCCAGTCCGTTGCCTCAAAGATATATGGGGGATTGACTGTATAGCCTCTTCACGCTAGTGACAACTCCAAATTGCCAATATATGAGGAAAACCAATGTTATCCTCTTAAAATGGCGCTTTTTCGACAAAAAAAATAGTACAGAAGACGTAAACTAAAGTAAGACTATGCAAAAAAAATTGGTTTTTGTGTTCACTTTTAATGATGGCAACAAAATAAAAAAAAGTAATTCGAGACCAAAATTTTTGTGGTATCAGTTATGCCAATGAGGACTGCCTTTTGTTTTTAATTCTTAAAAATCTGGTTATTGAAACAGTTTCAGTAAACTGGTACTGAGAAATGAGGAAACTGTTAATTTCTTAAAGTAGTCTTCGTGATAAGATGCCAAAATTAGCTGTCTCGTTTAAGGAATTTTTTCTTGAACGAAGTATGTGAAAAATTTTGTCAAAAAATCCTGATTTTAAGATGCTGTATACTAAGGTTGAGTGTAGTCATTTCTTTCCATTTCTTATTCTAAGTCTGTTCTGGCTTTTCAAGATTGAAAAAAACCGCTTCTTTTCTTTAGTAATTAAATCACTTCTTCTAGTTTCAGACCTCAAAGTCAGGCTGGGTTATGTATGATAGAAAGGTTAAAAAGCAAATCTGGAACGTGTATTAGGTTCAGGGATTTTCTGTATCAAACTAAAAACTTTGTGTTTTGACATCTCTAAAGATTCATTTTTGGTTTGATTAATAAATATTTTTTAGAGAACTATGCAATTTTGATAAGAAACAGGGGAGGAAAATAAAGAAACAAGAAAAAGACCTGAATTTTATTTTGCTTTGTCTGAGAAGTTTAGTTATTAAAATTTCTTGCATAGGGACCATTTTTTTCAAAACTTTGCAGGAGATGAAAAACGGATGAAAAATGTTTTGAAACCTGAATTTATTTACTTCTTTGGCTGTTTAACATTTTTGGGAGTTGCTCAGAGTGGTAGATGATTGCTTAAAATCAAACTCTCCTAAGCACTGTCTGTTTTACTGTTTGAATTTGAAGTACTGAATGTTTTTATTAAGCTTTCTTTTTGCCATTGTGGATAAAAATGTCAAAAATAAAATGCATAAAAATTTATTTATTTATTTTTTGCTGAAAATGATTTCATTTTCTTATCAATTGAAAGGCATTTTTTTGTTGAAGTACATTGTCAAAGTAAACGTTTTACAGCGTTGCATAGACGCATTTATTTTGAAGTATAATACGATGATTTAAACGGTTTTTTTTTTTTTTTTTTTTTTTTTTTTTTTTT